ACATCCGTCTTTGGGAGATAATTTTATTTTGTTGCATTATGACTCACATTCAGGACTAAATTATGACGTCATTTCCTGTGTTTGTTCCAAACCCTGGTCTTCTCACCTCTTTTGCTTGTTGTTGTTGTTTTGTTTGTTTTTTTCTAAAATAACTTAACAACATAATCAAACAACTCCTTAACAACAATTTTTTTCGTGTGAATCTTTTATGTGCATTTTCGTTTGCATGTATGAAATTGTTAAGAGTGATTCTTTTTTTTCCATTTATTGACAAGCGGTTATAATGATGTGTCAACTTGTGGCGAAAAGACACTTCATATTTCCTTCATTTTCCTCTTTTAAAATACATTTTATTTTTACTGCATACCCAAATACGTCATAAATACAAAGCTGCACAATTAATCTCGATACCAAAAACGCACAACCATGGAACAAATCATATGTCACTTATCTTCCACTTGAAAAACAGGAAAAGCTAAATGTTGGGGATGGGGGGGGGGTTTAAAGAGTGGGTCTGAAAGCTTGATGGAATGTGTTGTCGTTGACAGCGAGTCTATGTGCCAAGTTTCAGTTCGATGGGATGACGGGCTGAGGGTCAATTAGTCGTCCGATGTTTTTTTTTTACCCCAAACCACAAAAAAAAGCGAAGTTAATATAAAGGTTCTTTAAATAAACAAGGCAGAAGTCCAAAGGATGTTTCATTGAGCTTAGCTTTGATGATACCTTCCTTAAACTAATCTAGACTTATAATTTCTTAGACTTTGAATTATCAAGAGCTAACCTATGTTAATGATATTCAAAGATTGCATGTACATTAACTATTGTCATCTCGACAACAACGGTTAGGTTACACACGCCACCATTCTAGACACGCATAAATCTGGGGATTAAATCCATACCACCGGCACCGAAGCGGAGGGGAAATGAGACATATATATTTCGTTTAGTTTCATAACATATGGTGAGATTTTACACCGTAGACACAATGTCATAAAGTATTTTTTAAATGTACTGATGTAATACCAACTGATGCACACATTTTAATCATGGATAATCCTCACAGATATCCTACAGCGGAATATGTGTATAAAAGAATTATTTTGTTGCATTTTCTATATGTAATTTTTTCTCTTTTTTGCCCCCCAAGTTTTGACTAGGGTGACCTCAGGGCAAAGCTCTAGAGATGAGCAAGTCATACAAACTAGAAACTGTTGAGCTTGACAGCCCAGACAGCCCAGACAGCAGGGAGAGACAGCACATCACGGGAGGGAAACTCACTAGGTAATTAGAGCTCTTTAAAACTTTTATAGAATGTAGTGGACTTCGTTTTCATTCATCAGTTACAACATAACGACATTCAACCACCAGATTAATTCAGGCTCTTTAACGACATTCAACCACCAGATTAATTCAGGCTCTTTAACGACATTCAACCACCAGATTAATTCAGGCTCTTTAACGACATTCAACCACCAGATTAATTCAGGCTCTTTAACGACATTCAACCACCAGATTAATTCAGGCTCTTTAACGACATTCAACCACCAGATTAATTCAGGCTCTTTAACGACATTCAACCATCAGATTAATTCAGGCTCTTTTTTTTTTCTAAGCTTAAACTATGCTTCCATAATATAATAATTCGATCGTAACCAGCTACTGCAAAGCTTTTAAAATGGATCATGCCAACGTGCACTTATTTAAAGTGAAAGTTGGCGCTTCTGTCACGTTGAGATCTGATCCCTCCGGTTTGAATCGTGACAATAATGTGAGTTTCGATTTATTTTTTTTTTAAAGGAACATATAAAAAAAAAAAAAAAAAGCCATTTTAGTTATGACTCTCTGCGGTCGTGATGTGACTAAATCCCTTAAGATGCTTCGATCGGTTACACATTGCATTAATTAGAAACAGTAGAAAACAAACATTATTTGTGCAAATAAAACAATAGAGTTGTTGAGCTTTAATTATGATTACGCAAACTCTCCCAAATTTAAACGGTCTGGATACAACAAAACATCAAAGTCATCAAAGTGGCTCAGTCCTCCACATTTGCCCCCCTCCCCCCCCCCCCCCCCCCCAGGGAGTAAGAATATAAATTTAACACATTTTTTTTAGCAAAACTTAATTATTAGTCATTCTTTACTTTTTGATTCAGCTGAATTATTCATTCAAATTAAAATTTTTTTTAATTCGTTCTTATCACGTGAACATATTATTTTACCATAGGCTTGGGAAAACTAATACAGATTTTATACATTTTACTAGGCAATGTTAAAACTGCATCTGATAAAGTTCACTATTTAAACCTCTTTTTGAAGATCAGCTTCTAGTTTTTTGTTGTTTTTTTTTTGAGATTGAGACCCACTGACTTGAATGTGTAACGAATCTACAAGTAGCAGAGCATTCCACTAGCTCACAAACAAATATCTTATGGCTTTAGGCATTGGGAAATAGTCTGGTGGAGCATTAGTTGACACTGTGGAGAGAGGGGGGAGGGGAGGGGGGAGTTAAGTCATTGGAGAACTTTAAACTATGGGTCGCTGACGTGCTTCGACGGGTTGGTGAAAGATGTCGAAGGGTTGGTGACAGATTCTGAAAGGTGGGTTAAGGATTCTGACGGTTTGGTGAAAGAGAATGACGGGTTGGTCCAAGAGTATGACCGGGTTGATCCAAGAGTATGACGGGTTGATCCAAGAGTATGACGAGTTGATCCAAGAGTATGACGGTTTGATCCAAGCGTATGACGGTTTGATCCAAGCGTATGACGGTTTGATCCAAGCGTATGACGGGTTGATCCAAGAGTATAACGCGTTGATCCAATAGTATGACGGGTTGATCCAAGCGTATGACGGGTTGATCCAAGAGTCGGATGGTTCGGTGAAAGTGCCGTTGTTGGTGAAAGAGTCCAGTTGACGGATTGGTCAAACAGTCTGGAGGGGGGGGGGGAGGTAGGCGTATGTTAGAAATGGACACACAAGACAACAGAGAGGGTCTTTGACAGCATCTGGCTCTGTCTGTCCATCCTTGAGGCTTTAGGGGCTCATGGGTTTCCTTGAAGCTGACTCTCCTCTTACCTGACACACACACACACACTTCTCCACATGTTTAGATGTTGCCTTGAGTTTGTATTGATGCAGAGTAGCGAGCCTTGACTTGATGAGATGAACGGGTCAAGTTATTTAGAGAGTGTAAGTGTTTTGATTAGTAATCATCCTCTGAGTAGTCCCAATGTGTATTTTATGGAAAGATTCTCCACAGTGAATCATGCCAAAGAATAAGAATTCTAGTCTTAAGAAGAAAAGAAAAGAAAGAAGAAAAAAAGACAGCCCAGGCCAAACAAAGGCCTGGCACGGTTAAAATGACTGTCGGACTAAATAACAAGATAATGTACTCTAATCTGCACACACACAACGACTTACTGGCTGTCAACCCAAATATGTTCAGATAAGAGACGCGACAAATAAAGTTTAGGTCGTACCAAGTCAATCTGTATCTCTTCGTAGACAGCTCCCGGAATGCCGTTCAGCAAGAGAGACAACTCAGTGAATAAACGCTAGATATTTTTATTTTTTTATTTTTTTAATGAAAAGGGAAGCAATCATTAAATTTAACAGGATCGGAATTTCCCACACAAAAGAAAAAGGGGGGGGGGGGGGGGGGGGTAGTAAATGGATCTCTTATGTTATTTTTTGTTGTTTTTTTTTGGTTTTATTTTTTGTTGTTGTTTTTTTTTATTCACACAAAAACATGTATTGGCATGTTCGGCCTGACAACTTTGTCATTGAAAAATGACTCTAACCACAAATGTCATCTAGAGGTCATGTGGTCTAAAAATAGTTTTAAAAAATTAAGAGAAAAAAAAAACAACACACACACACAAAAACAAGAGAAAAAAGTTTTGACTTATTTTTCTAAGAATTTAAATTGAAAACGTTAAACTAAAATTCGGACACCGAGAATTAAATGACGTCCATTTGCTATCAATGTACTTTAATAGTGTCAGTACACTGTTTACAAGTTGGGCGATTCTACGACGAGAGTTCGGTACCAACCTATCGAATACACAAGATCAGGTTTTTTTGGTAGGTTGGACGGTACTAAGAACTGTGAGAGTTATCCATTTGGAAAATGTTAGGTGTGTGTGTGGGGGGGGGGGGGGGGAAGGTGACCTTACCCTAGAAATTTGGCTCTCAAAAAAATGTAAACACCCTGCTGCTGAGTTTTGGCTCCTCTTTTGACTCATGAGTTTGCCGACCACTGGCCTAGCCCGTGGGGGGTCACAGTGCCCCCTTGACCTCCAAGCTGCAGGTTAAAGTGACCAGCGACTCAGTAATGGCCAATACGATTTCCGTATATCTACTGGCGAAGCGTTTAGCTGGTGGGGGTCCTCTATTTTTTGGGCCGTGGCTAGTGTCCCCCAAAATGACTTGCTAAGGTCCTGCGTGTGGTTGTGAGGTACCAACATGGTGTGGTGAAATGTTGAAACCCTGACAATGTCACAGCCGCATTTCAATGAAATAAATATATATTTGTTTTTTAAAAAACATGATTTTGTCAAACTGCTGAGTAATACTTTTATTTCAACCAACCTGAATGCACTTACATGGGTTCTAATGTTATGTACCAAATACAGTGCGTATACATTTATTTATACATTCCGAGTTTTTCATATCATTTCACGCACACACTATTCCTTCTATCCAGCAGAGTTATTTCATTCACGTATGAAAACACATTATTTTGATCATCACATGGATTAATGATATTCCCTTTCTAAGAACCATAACTCAGTCAGCTCCCGCCCACACACCTGTTCGTATTCAGAGTTATCCATTCATTTGTCTAATCGATAACTTGTGCTCGAAATGCGGATGTCATCCTTCGATTTAGTTTGGTGGTGGGCTGTTGGTTGGGTTTTTTTTTTCTCCCTATCGCTGACCCCTCGTGATTTGCGCGAGAAGACCGCACCGTCTCGTGGCCATCTGTAAATGTGAACGATCGATAAACGGGCCCCGACTGATTGTTCAACTTCCGGCAGGACGGCAGCTAAAGGAGTCTTGGCTGTGACGTGAATAACTGTTGGGGGGAATAACTCAGTAGTGTGTTTAGAATTTCAATTTTTTTTTGCTGAATTGGATATTTTTGCATTGTTCCTTCGGTATCTTTCAGTGAATTCGTTGCCAAGACAAAAAAGTGATTTTTTTCCGATCAAACATATGGACACGTACTCTGGGGGCTGTTTTGCCTGGTCAGCACGTGGGACGCGACTTGTATTTAGTTGTGCTGATTACACGTTTATACGTGAATTTATGCGACGGAACTCCTGAGAGTAAACAACAAGACAAGATAACGTTTGGAAGATAGTGAACCAGTGTAAGGTACACAAGCCGTTATTGTAAGTTGTGCAATCAACTTTTTAAAAAGTGACACAGGCACCTAATTAGTGAGTTACACAAGCCTACATCTTGATGTTTTCTCACATTCTTTGTGTGACATTCATCATGACTGCGCGTTACTCTTGTTTTAAACACACTTTTCGCAGAAAATGTTCACAACTTTAATACAATGCGCAGAAAATGTTCACAACTTTGATACAATGCGCAGAAAATGTTCACAATTTTGATACAATGCGCAGAAAATGTTCACAACTTTGATACAATGCGCAGAAAATGTTCACAACTTTGATACAATGCGCAGAAAATGTTCACAACTTTGATACAATGCGCAGAAAATGTTCACAACTTTGATACAATGCGCAGAAAATGTTCACAACTTTGATACAATGCGCAGAAAATGTTCACAACTTTGATACAATGCGCAGAAAATGTTCACAACTTTGATACAATGCGCAGAAAATGTTCACAACTTTGATACAATGCGCAGAAAATGTTCACAACTTTGATACAATGCGCAGAAAATGTTCACAACTTTGATACAATGCGCAGAAAATGTTCACAACTTTGATAAAATGCGCAGAAAATGCTCACAACTTTGATACAATGCACAGAAAATGTTCACAACTTTGATACAATGCGCAGAAAATGTTCACAACTTTGATACAATGCGATGGGTTGACGCAGACTAACGCGACTGACTGAGTTGAACATCGTACACATCCTTTTGTACATGAGCACAACGAGCGCATGCTCATCATTTCACCGTGTTTCCAAACACCGCGTTTCATTTTGAGTTTCAACTTTAACAGATGGATAGTGTTCGATCCTGCCGACCAACTGATGAGTTGTTAAATTAAAGGTCGGACTCGAATAGGGCCGTTTAAGACATTAGCTGACGGCAAGTATTTTCAAAGAATACTGACAAAATTGCTTTAGAAATGATGCTAGTAAAATATATTTTTTTCTTAAACTACAGATGCATATGAATCTCATTGCATCGCGCAAAGAAGGAGATCCTCCCTTGCGTCTGTAATTGATCCTTACAGAGCACTCTTCTTCGCCCGTTCGAATCCCAGGGGAGCGTCGGTCATTAAGAATTATTTCTTTCCAAGACTTCCGGTCTCTTGCCATCTCCTCCAACCCTTACCAGTCTTTTGTAAACGTTTGTTGACATCTCTTTAACACGAGTTTTTTTTTTTTTGGTTTTTTTGGGGGGTGGGGGGTCCTCGTCCTCTTGAATCTTAATGGATGCATACCATGTGATAGACGTGTTCTGTCTGGCACAGGTTTAGACCAGTTCTTGTCTTGTTATATTGAGCATAGATTTATGCCTGTTTTTCTTGTCTTGTTATGTTTGGCATAGATCTATAACATGGGTTTATACCAGGGCTTGTCTTGTAATACTTGGCATGGCTTTAGTCATGGTATGATCCATCCTTCTCATAAATTCCATCACATGGTATGATCTATTCATCTCATGGTATGACCTATCTATCTCATTTTATGACCTATCCATCTCATGATATGACCTATCCATCTCATGGTATGACATATCCATCTCATGGTATCACCTATCCATCTCATGGTATGACCTATCTATCTCATGGTATGACCTTGCCTTCTGTATTCTTGTCTTCTGTATTCTTGCTTTCTGTATTCTTGCCTTTTGTATTCTTGCCTTTTGTATTCTTGCCTTCTGTATTCTTGCCGTCTGTATTCTTCACTTCTGTATTCGTGCCTTCTGCATTCTTCTGTAATCTTGTCTTATATATTCGTGCCTTATGTATTCTTGACCTCGTTATTCTTGCTTTGATATCTGCCTCCGAACCTCCTCTCAGCACTTACTGATCATTAGAGAAACGAAAACCTAGAGTGAGAGCTCACCGGATGTCGCCAGGGAGGTCAGGTGCCAGGGAGGTCAGGTGCCAAAATTGACTAGTGGGCAGGAACAGGAATCGATAATCCGGAGATCAATTACCAATCAAGAACGTTACAGTTCAGCTCGCGGCAGGGCATTGTCATTGTAACTAAAGTAACCATAATTTACAATCAGATAAACAATATCGATCACTGACCGAGTCCCCGAGCACATAGTTACTATATGGTTCAATATAGGTGCACTAGTTTCATATGCGACAAACTTATGTAATATTTTTGCACTAATTTCAACTTGTGATATGCGACAAACTTACAAATAATGTTTTAAAAAAATATGTTCTAAACTTTAAACAAATAATAAACAACACTTAAAACAAAGTTTTTCGAATAAACCCATTCAATGTGTGTCCCCCTCCCCCCCCCCAACCCGTCTATGTGATTGTACATCATTGGGTGAACATCATGCGAAAACGCGTTTCATATTTATTTCATTTTCCGCAACTTCAAAAATAAATTTTATATTTACTGCCTGCCCTAATACGTCACAAATGTGAAACTCGCAGCAACAGCTACACAATTAATCTCCACACCAAAGCACGCAACCATTGCACAAGAAATCTGACAATGCCACGTGTGTACAGAAAAGGATACCACTAAATTCACACAAAAATGTGGAAATTCGAGTAGAGAGAAAGTCTATTAAAAAATTTTAAAAAACGAAAAGAAATTTCGAAATGGGCTGACTGCTTTAAGAGCAGAATGATTGACCCAGATTTCACCCGGGGTCATGCTCACATGACGAGGGCAAACGAAAGCGTTACGTCTTAGCTCCTTGGGTTCAGCCTTAGAAATTCCAGTTTAAGATTATTACAGATTTTTTCTAAAGCTGGAGTTCTTGTATCTTTTCTAAAGCTGTAATACTTGTATCTTTTCTTAAGCTGTGATACTCAAGCTAGATAGCGTTATTATATTTTAATGCCCAGCAATCGTTGGATCATTCTTCATGCGGTGGCACTTGGATCTTTCCTAAAGCTGTGGTCCTTGTATCTTTCCTAAGGCTGTGGTATTTGTATCTTTCCTAAAGCTGTGGTCCTTGTAAATTTCCTAAAGCTTTGGTCTTTGTATATTTCCTAAAGCCGTGGACCTTGTATCTTTCCTGCAGATGTGGTCCTTGTATCTTTCCTGCAGATGTGGTCCTTGAATCTTTTCTAAAGCTGTGATACTTGGATCGTTCCTAATGCTGATATATTCGAATCAGTTCTAAAGCTGTGGTCCTTGAATTTTTCCTAAAGCTGTGGGCCTTGTATCTTCCTCGAGCTGTAGTCCTTGTATCTTTCTTAAGCTGTGGTCCTTTTATTTTTCTAAAGCTGTGGTCCTTGTATCTTTCTAAAGCTGTGAAACGTGGATCTTTCCTAAGGCTGAGATACTCGAATCAGTTCTAAGGCTGTGGTCTTTTGATCTTTCCTAAGCTGTGGTCCTTGTATCTGTCCCAAAGCTGTGGTCCTTGTATATTTCCTAAAGCTGTGGTTCCATGTATCTTTCTTAAAGCTGTGGTCCTTGTATCTTTCCTAAAGCTGTGATCCTTGTATCTTTCCTAAAGCTGTGGTACTTGTATCTTTCCTAAACCTGTGGTACTTGTATCTTTCCTAAGGCTGTGGTCCTTGTATCTTTCCTAAAGCTGTGGTACTTGTATCTTTCCTAAGGCTGTGGTACTTGTATCTTTCCTAAAGCTGTGGTACTTGTATCTTTCCTAAGGCTGTGGTACTTGTATCTTTCCTAAACCTGTGGTACTTGTATCTTTCCTAAGGCTGTGGTACTTGGATCTTTCCTAAAGCTGTGGTGCTTGGATCTTTCCTAAAGCTGTGGTACTTGGATCTTTCCTAAAGCTGTAATGCCCAAGCCAGATAGCATCATTATTGTTGTTTTTTTAAATGCCCAGCAATTGTTACCAGTGTGGTAGTAATAACTCCTGTCGGGGTGGGTCACTCACTACAGTGTAACTTAACGACATGTAGACAATGAGCCCCTTCCATATATCGGATATATGGATGTCAACTCAGTTCAGATTTTGTTAGCTAAAGACATGTACTTTTCTTTTAGAATGATTGAATGTTCATCCAAGTTAAAGCCGAATTTCCTATAGATTGATTGAATTTTCATCCAAGTTTAAGCCAAATTTCCTATAGACTGATTGAATGGTCAGCCAAGTTTAAGCCAAATTTCCTATAGACTGATTGAATTTTCATCCAAGTTTCAGCCACATTTCCTATAGATTGATTGAATTTTTATCCATATTTAAGCCACATTTCCTACAGATTGATTGAATTTTCATCCATATTTAAGATCGATGCCAAAATTTCTTGATTATTTTTCTTGGAACTTTCCTTCCAGGCCAAAAAAAAAAACAATGTGGATTTTTGGAAAATATCTTTTTGAAACGACTCAACACAAGTAAACTGAATTTGTCCAATTGCTTGACCAATGTTGCACGGACTGGCAAAGTAAGTCTCGCAGACCGGACGCCAGTCTTTGGGGCCACTATTTTGAGAAACACTGGACAGTTAGGCCATAAGGCGGTTGTTGGTGTTATTATTAACTTCCTTTTTTGTTGACAATGACAATTTTGAGAACGGAGAGTTCACCAGTTGTTACCAAGACTATTGATCGATTTGTTTTTTCCCCTTGCTCATAACATTATTTCCCCTTCCTTTTGGGTGTGAACGGGACGTCACTAGAGATGAAAAAAAGGAGTTGCTGGTGGAGTGTTCACATATGTTCGCCCTCCACCCTGCACCACCCCCCCCCCCAAAGGAGGACGTCATAAATGACATAAAAGAAGATATGGGTGGTGGTGGCGACAGGGTGTCACGCGGGTCGGTCATAAATGAAATGTTACCTGAGATTGTTGCACAGGTGTACCTTCAACTCACATGTATTGTGCCAGGACACAGGTGCTGTCATCTCACGTGTATTGTGCCAGGTCATGTTTCACGCGTTGCCCTTCTATGTTTGTGTTATCATATTGCTAAACAAATGGACAGGCAATTTGGGATTCTGTTTGTATTACCATATGGCTAAATATATTATGTGCAAGCAATCCTGGATTCTGTAAAGTCGGTGAGACGTGTTTTACCGTGAGCTTCAACCCTATGAAGCCGTGACTCGCCACTCCATTTAGAATGCTCCAGATCATATTAGACTTGAAAATGCCGCAGAGGCGTAGCGTGGTGGGGGCGGGGGGACAGATGTCCCCGGGCGCAAGCTAGTTAGGGGCGCCAAAATGTGCTGTAATATTATATTATTGGTAAAAATAATGGGTTTGAGAGTTGAAAAAAAGAAAAGGGGCACTTTAAAATGGATCTTGTCCCCGGGCGCCAAACACCCTCGCTACGCCACTGAAATGCCGGTCTTTTATATTGTGGTGGGAGGCGTATGAAATAGGTGTGTTGGATGTTGTTTGTTTTTTTTTTCTATTTTAAAATGATGACATATCTTACAAGAGAAATACATAACAAACATTCTAAGACCACATTTTGACCCACGTAGAACTGACCATGACCTTCACCTTTATCTTTACTCATTAATGGACAGTAAATGGACAGCTAAGTGTTGCGGTGGGCAGATATTAGAACACTTTGGCCATGAGATAGAACATGTTACGCTCAACATAAGCAGACTTACGTTAAAAATAGCAGACTAGGGTAATGTCTCGTTTTGAACGCTGTCACTGTGTTTACCGTATTTAATCGGACTGAGATCCTTTTAAGCGAGACTTCATACCAGGTCGTTTACACGGAGGTGAGCACGTGAGCAGGCCTTGCACAGCAATCACGTGTGCATTCCCCGTGGGTGGTGGGGAGGGATGGGTGGGTGGGTGGGAAGAGCTTGTGTTCCTAACCCGACAACAGATTAACCGACAAGTTAACCGATCAAGTCTAACCAACAACCCGTCTGTGTTGTTTCTTGTATCCGCGCTTAGCACAGATCTGGGTCATTCATGCGTTCAACAATCAACCAACCGTGGTGGTTAGGCCTATTGTTTCTACTTAAAGCGTGTGTTATCTACAGTTCATTAAAAAAAAAAATCATCAAGCATGTATTATTCTTATGACGTAAACAGTGTGTGACGATAACCGATGTGTTACAATCTGTGTCAGTCGGCCATTACATCCTTATCCGCGTGTGTGTGTGTAGCGATGACGGTCCGGTGTTGTGTGTAAACAAAATGTGTCCGACTCTGAGGCTGTTGAATAATTTCATATAAGGAAAGAACTTTAAAGTACCGGGGTAAACAATCAACCGCCCAGAACAATGAATCTGTTGACGAGCGGTGGCAAAGACGTGGTGTATGATCGCGACACGGACAGACTCATCGTGTCCCTGTCGGAACTGGACAGTGAAGCCGTTCCGTTGGTCAGCGGTCCCTCGGAGAAGGTATCTCTTAGGACGTAAGTCGACTGGTCACTTTTGTGTCCAGCATTTGACCTTTTTTAACAGTTTAAAAACAAAACAAAAAATGTTTAAAGCTTATTGTGGGCACAATTAATAGTCATGCACGTTTTTTCAGCCGCTGAACAAATTTCCTGATGCCAAACACACGCACAATTGCGAGGATCATCAGATATAATCTGGGTTTCTTTCAGCTATATCTCCGGGGGGGGGGGGGCACCCCCCCCCGGGGAAAGCCAAGGGCCCCCCCCCCCGAGCAAAAATATTTCCAACAACAATAAATCAACTGGAACTGTTGGCCCTGCCCCCAGCCCCCCCCCCCTTCCGAAAAATCTGAAGTGCCCTCCCCCCCCCCCGAAAATCACTGTTCCGGGGGAAAATTTCTGAAAGAAACACTGGATATGATTAGATCATAATAGAATCCCTTGTTTAGGGAGATACCCATTGCTATTTATAGGTAACGTTATTGATCTAGTGTCAATAAATCTTTGTAAAAAAAAAATAATACTACAACATAACTGTTAATATGCTGAAGACCAGCATGCCATAACGTTGACATATAAAATCTAGCGGTCAATAATTTCAAATGACAGTTGAAAAGTTCACGTCATATAGGTAAGAAGTTCCAGTCAGACAGGTAAGAAGTTCAAGTCAGACAGGTAAGAAATTCAAGTCAGACAGGTAAGAAGTTCAAAACTATTTGTAAGTGTAATCAGGCTCCTATATTATATTATCTATCATAAATGTTGTTGTTTGTCTTTGCGTCGCCAGTGTTGACACAATGGCATCCATCAAGCAGTTGTTTACGTCTCATGTCACTGTCTAATCATTGATGTCTCCCCCCCCCCCTTCCCCAGCAACAAGAAGACCTTCCTTGTGACACTATGCATCCTCATCACCGAGATGTGCGAAAGGTTGACCTACTACAGCGTGTCGGCGGGTCTCATCCTTTTCTCCACCAGCCACCTGGACATAGGTCAATCAGATGCCACCACAATCAACCAGGTGTTCTCAGGTGAAGAACTGGCTGTCTTAATAGGCTTTGTCATTTATCAGACCGGAAAACGTCATAGCTCACTATTTTTAGAAGGTCGGCGGACAAATATTGCTAAAAACATGGCAGCTTATAGTGTGTTCCAGCACATCGCTCGGACGATCTTTGTATATCTAGAGCTGCTGTTACATAAGCCGTTCTCGCAATGAAGTCCCATTTCAGAAAATAGAAGTAAAAAAAAATGTGTAAAATATTTCGTAAAATAGAGTTGTAAACAAGTTTCAGAGACACTTCGCTAACATAGTAATGCTGAACAGTGTTGACATTTTGTCTGAGCTGAGTACCCGGATGATGAGTAATGATGACATCAGTTCTATTAATAGATTTCCGCCATCAAATGACAAGCCCTGTTCCTGTGTCCGTTCTCAATAACACACGCATACCATAGACTTTTTTTAACTAACCTTCTCCGACACTCTATTTACTAACATTCTACGACACACTGTTTACTAACATTCTACGACACACTGTTTACTAACATTCTACGACACACTGTTTACTAACATTCTACGACACTCTATTTACTAACATTCTACGACACACTGTTTACTAACATTCTACGACACACTGTTTACTAACATTCTACGACACACTGTTTACTAACATTCTACGACACACTGTTTACTAACATTCTACGACACTCTATTTACTAACATTCTACGACACACTGTTTACTACCATTCTACGACACACTGTTTACTAACATTCTATGAACTCTATTTACTAACATTCTATCACACACTGTTTAATAACATTCTATAACACTCTATTTTACATTCTACGATACTGTTTACTAACATTCTATGACACACTATTTACTGAATTCCACGACACACTGTTTACTGACATTCTACAACCCATCCATCAAAAATAAAAAAATAACTGCTGTTTAAATCAGGGGAGGCAGAGAAGCGACATTGCCAAAAAGAACGACACACACACACTAACGAACACTCCCTCTCACACACAAACACACATTAATGTATTTCAACATTGTCTGGCGACACATGTGAACCATGGTATCACATTATTCTGACCCCTGGGTTTTTTTGTTTTTTTTTACCGCACAATTCCTGTGTTCAATCGAAGGGGCACACAGTAAAGGAACAACAAACAACACAGTTTTTCATTTCATGTCTGTATCTTCATTTTTTTTTAAAATAATAATTTAGGGTCAAAGTTCACTATGTTAGGGGGCACCTTCTTCACTATTTTAGGTTCACTATTCACCATTTTAGGTTCACTATTCACTATTTTAGGTTCACTATTCACTATTTTAGGTTCACTCTTCTAATTTCAATATTATTTATTTTAGGTTCACTATTCACTATTTTAGGTTCACTATTCACTATTTTAGGTTCACTATTCACTATTTTAGGTTCACTATTCACTATTTTAGGTTCACTATTCACTATTTTAGGTTCACTCTTCTAATTTCAGTATTATTTATTTTAGGCTCACTATTCACTAATTTAGGTTCACTTTTCAATTTTTAAGTTTACTTTTCGCTATTTTAGGTTCACTGTTCGCCAATTATTTCATCCTGATTACGGTGAAATGGTGATTGCGTCGTAGTAACAGCATCCATGAGAACGCTGGCTCACTACTTTCTCGGGGTGGTGTGCACACACCCCAGCCCCCAGGGTTGTTATACTTCCTCCCCCCCCCCCTCCTTTACCCACACAAGCTCAAACTCATAAGTATTCCATTTACAAAAAATAGTCTTCTATACCAACTGGACGAACGAGTCAGCAATTTTTTAAATATTTTTTTATTGGTTGTTCATTTGCCAACGATGCAAGGGAAAGCACTCATTGCGTGACGTCACTTTACACCAGCCGTTAACATATTGTTCCTAACACTTGAGAACCGTTAAAGTCTCTTCTAACGGCGTTGCTTAACTGTTCCAGGTTTTGTCTACTTGACCGTTAAAGTCTCTTCTAACGGCGTTGCTTAACTGTTCCAGGTTTTGTCTACTTGATCCCGATCATTGGAGGGTTTCTGGCCGACTCGTACCTGGGCAGATATAGAACAATTCTTATTGCATGTTGTATTTATATTACAGGTAAGTCCACTGTGGTTGGTTGTTGTTTTGTTGTTGTTGTTTTTTTGTTGTTGTTGTTGTTGTTGTTGTTGTTGTTTTACCGGTCTAAATAATAAGTGACAACATTCCACTGAGTCCCAGTGAAATGGTGATAATAATGATTTGTACTTATTGTAATCGTGTGTTTCATGCAAAGAGTTCTAAACAGCCTGACATCACCACATGTGTACGGTCTGACATCACCACATTTGTACGGTCTGACGTCACCACATATGTACGGTCTGACATCACCACATGTGTACGGTCTGACATCACCACATTTGTACGGTCTGACATCACCACATGTGTACGGTCTGACATCACCACATGTGTACGGTCTGACATCACCACATGTGTACGGCCTGACATCACCACATGTGTACAGCCTGACATCCCCATATGTGTACAGTCTGACATCACCACATGTGTACGGCCTGACATCACCACATGTGTACAGTCTGACATACCCCACATCACATATTTTGTGCTTCATCTATGACCACAGGGCATCAATATTTTTTTTATTAAAAAGCAATTAGAGGGAGTGGGGGGGGGAGAGACATCATAACTTCTTAACTAATTATATTGGGTTTATATAGTTGTGTAGTTGGTTTTTTTTTTAGTTTGTTTGCCACTGCCGTGAAGTATTGTGTACTAGCGGCTTTAGCGTCACCACAGTTGAAAGCATGTTAGAATATAGTACGTAACAATGTTATTAGATAATCTCCTTGCGTCTTTTCCAGTCATGCCAACAATTTTTCATATCAATGTGATATAGCTGAATTTTTTTTTAAACTAAATGTTTTATAGCTCAGTGTGTTAAAGCTCAATGTGTTACAGCTCAATGTGTTATAAGCTGACTCTGTTACAGCTCAGTATGTTATAGCTGAATGTGTTGCAACGCAATGTGTAAGTTCCACGTTGTCTACGTCCGATTATATTTATTTACTAGCGAGTACCCGGCATGCGTTGCAATGCTACTCAAATGAAAATAAAGTGTTTGTGATTTCAATTATGTTTTTCGAAGTACTTTTTATGTACACAATATTTCATTTTTTTTTTTTTTTTACCGTCCGGTGAGTACTCGAATAAATTTAGTCCACACACTCGTAACGATTGATCCACCGACGCAATAGCTATGTTTGAAATTATATTTACATAGATGATATAAGAAGGAAAAAAAACGAATTTAGGGCTCCCCCGGCCAAAAGCGCAATATTGTAAAATGGTTGGACTTATTCAGAAACCCTTTAGAGGCGTGCACACAACTCACCAAAATTTTATCGCAGTGAGATGAATGGTAGGGGAACGCATACGGAAGTTATATTTAATTAGCTCATATCAGGAAAAAATAATAATTTAGGTCCCCCTGTCCAAAACTGAATACTGCAAAATGGTTGGACAAATTCAGGGACGAAATAAATTATGTCACACACAAACGGAAATATTTCTGTTTGTATTTTGATTCAATTCCACCCACTCGTGCATTAGGTCTGTTCAAAATTATATTTTTATAGCTCATAAAATAAAAAAAACAAATTTAGGGCCCCCGACCCCAAACGCAATATTATAAAATGGTTGAACTAATTCATAAACCTACTTATTGTGTCAAACACAAATTGAAATGTCGCTATTTGTATATTATTAAAATTCCATCCACCAACTCATTAGTTCTTTTTGAAATAATATTTACGTAGCTCATATAAAAAAAAACGAAGTAATGGCTGCAGGCCCGAAACAGAATGTTTTCCAATGCCTCTATACTCTTATTATGAACACTGTGATGTCTTGATTGTTCTATAAGTTATAACACCACTCTCTACTCTTATTATGAACACTGTGATGTCTTGATTGTTCTATAAGTTATAACACCACTATACACTCTTATTATGAACACTGTGATGTCTTGATTGTTCTATAAGTTATAACACCACTCTCTACTCTTATTATGAACACTGTGATGTCTTGATTGTTCTATAAGTTATAACACCACTTTCTACTCTTATTATGAACACTGTGATGTCTTGATTGTTCTATAAGTTATAACACCACTCTACACTGTTATTATGAACACTGTGATGTCTTGATTGTTCTATAAGTTATAACACCACTCTACACTCTTATTATGAACACTGTGATGTCTTGATTGTTCTATAAGTTATAACACCACTTTCTACTCTTATTATGAACACTGTGATGTCTTGATTGTTCTATAAGTTATAACACCATAACGCGTCAACAGTCGCTTTAAAAAAATAATGGCCTTTTTATTTATGTCTATATTTATGATTGACCCTTCTTACAAAACCATTTCTTGAAACGGCTGTACTCATTTAGAAACATTTTCAGACGGGCGCATATCAATTCACCAATGTTGTATCGCAATCGGAAGTGTATGGTATAGGAACGCGTACAGAAATTATATTAAGATGGCTAATATAAGGGGGGAAAGTGAACTCAGTGCCCCCGGCCACAGACGGAATATTGTAGAATGGTTGTACTACCTCAGAAACTTATTTATTATATCAAACGCAAAATTTAATGTCGCTATTTGTATTTGATTAAAGTTCTATCCACCCATGCATTAGCTCTGTTTGAAGTTATATTTATAAAGCTCATATACGAAAAAACGAACATAGGGCCCCTGGCTCAAAACGGGATATTTTAAAATCGTTGGAATAATTTAAAAACCTTTGCAGGGCCATGCGCACAGCATCTCTCCAAAGTTTTATTGCATTCGGATAAATGGCACAGGAGTGCATACGGACATTATTTTTTTACATAGCTCATATAAGAAGAAATGGAATTGCGGGCCAACAGCCAAAAACTGAGTATTTCTAAAGGGTTGCAATGACTCATAAAAATGCGCGGGCATGTTGTACAACAACTCGCCAAAGTGTTATCGCGATCGCATGAATGGTGTAGGAGTGCATACGAAAGATACATACATACAGACAGACATTGATTTATATATATATAGATAGATATAGATATAGATAATTAGGCCAGTTTCCTGTTCTTGAATTTATTAACAGCTTCATATTTCAACCAACAGGCACAATTCTGTTACCAGCGGCAGCTATAGACTATGATTCCTGGGGCCTAACACAGATCAACACGGTCAGTCTTACAACAATGTCTGTGACGTTTTAATAACATAGCGAGAAACTAAACGGTTGAAAATGCTTTGACAGTTTCGCTTACTAAAATATTCTTATATTTAATTGAGGATTTGCTATGAAGGAAATATACTGCATGAATAAAAAAATAAATGCGTGCATACATAATTATTAAGTCATTTGATCTTCTTTGATTTATTTAAAAGACACGGTTATTTATCAAGCTCTGAGTAATTTACAATGCTAATATGAACACGAATTGCAATGCTATTCTTATAAGAATCAATATAGAAGCCTAATAAGTAACTCAACAAGTTTCTAACGGATTAGAAGTTAAAACATCTTTTTGGGAACAAATGTCGCCATATTGGTTCATCTTTTGTCGTTGCAGAAAGGAAGGATAGCACTTTTTGCAACTGGACTTTTCCTGGTGGCCTTTGGTACCGGAGGGATCAAGGCAAATGTCGGCCCTTTCGGAGCTGAGCAAATTGAGACCATGGGGAAAGATGCGGTCCAGTCATTCTTCAACTGGTCAGTTGGTTATTTTGAGCTGCACGTTACCATTTGTGGACATGTCATGATTTGTATGGGCTCCCGATATGGGCTCCCGATATGGGCTCCCGATATGGGCTCCCGATATGGGCTCCCGATATGGGCTCCCAATATGGGCTCGCGATAAGTTCCATGATATACAAATTCTCAGGGGAAAAAAGTTTGTAAATAGGAAGTCGTTTTTATATTCCATTACCTAAGTATACAATATCCAAATACTGATTTCCTCTCCCAATCCTGATGTAACTGTAACGTGGTCACTCATAATCAGGACCCACTCCAAAGACAGGGCCCAAAACAAAGACAGGGCTCAAAACAAAGACAGGGCCCAAAAGAAAGACAGGGCTCACTACAAAGACAGGGCCCTGTGCAAAGTCAGGGCCCACATCCAAAGCCAGGACTCAAAACAAAGACAGGACCCAAAACAAAGACAGGGCCTAAAACAAAGACACGGCCCACATCCAAAGCCAGGACCAAAAAAAAAGACAGGGCCCAAAACAGACAGGGCCCAAAAAAGACAGGACCCAAAACAAAGACAGGGCCCAAAACAAAGATAGGGCCCAAAACAAAGACAGGGCTCACTAAAAAGACAGGGTCCAGTGCAAAGTCAGGGCCCACATCCAAACCCAGGGCCCACTCCAAAGTCAGAACCCTCTCCAATCTGAGAACCCACTCCAAAGCCAGGGCCCCACACTAATCGCTTTCATGTCCAAGCCAATAATTGTCTCTTCACCAAATCTACAAAAGAAGTAGAACATTTTATTATCTTTTGCTTTAGGGAGGTTGGTCAGCACCCACTTGGTAAATTGTAACTGCTGGTAAATTTAAATGAACATTTGAATTTGAAGCTGTCTTATATTGATTCTGCCTGCAAGCCATTTTAGTAGCTGTTAGATCACTTGTCCTCACGACGTCTCTGCATCTGTAATGAGTTTCCTGATCTGGGGCTCTCCCTTGTGTAAGGCAGAATGTCGAGTACAGTGCTTACAACGATGTTTTATATTTTAAGCAGAAAGCTTTCTATTGGCTGTAACAGATGGGATAACATTGCGTTGTTGCTGTTGTCGTTTGTTTTGTCTCCCCTTTTATGTAACTTGCCTCCCTTAAAGACATTATTTGTCTCCCTTAAAGGCGTCATTTATCTCCATTGAAGAGGTTATGGGTCTTCCTTAAAGAGCTTATTTGTCTCCTTTAAAGAGTTAATTTGTTTTCCTTAAGAGGTTATTTGTCTCCCATATAGAGGTTATTTGTTTCCCTTAAATGGTTGTCTCCCCAAAATACGTTATGTGTCTACCTTGAAGAGGTTATTTGTCTCCCTTAAATGGTTGTCTCCCCAAAAGATGTCATTTGTCTCCCGAAAAGAGGTTATTTGCTCTTCCTTAAAGAATTTATTTGTCTCCCTAACAGACGTTATTTGTCTCCCTAAAAGACGTTTTTGTCTCCTAAAAGATGTTATTTGTTTCACTAAAAGACGTTGTCTCCCTAAAAGACGTTATTTGTCTCCCTAAAAGACGTTATTTGCTCTTCCTTAAAGTGGTTATTTGTCTCCCTTAAAAAATTATTTGTCTCCCTTAAAGTGGTTATTTGTCTCCCTTAAAGAGGTTATTTGACTCCCTTAAAGAGGTTATTTGTCTCCCATAAAAAGGTTATTTGTCTCCCTTAAAGAGGTTATTTGTCTCCCTAAAATACGTAATTTGTCTCCCTAAAAGACGTTATTTGTTCTTCCTTAAAGACGTTTTTTTGTTGACATAAAGCCGAAAACGTAATTTCAATGGCTCCGTGGCTCCGTTGAATGGCTTACGGAAAATGGCATTGGAAATAACTTCATTGTTTTTGCCCCTACAACAGACCGCTGGGGGGATAAACTGGTCTAATCTAATCTGTCTCCCTAACCCCACCCCCCCCCACTCCTCCCTCACTGTCCAGGTTCTACTGGGTCGTCAATGTCGGGGCCCTCATCGCCTACGCTGGCGTGGCCTACATTCAGCAGGAGATCAGCTTTGCCTGGGGTTTCTTCGTCCCCCTGGCCAGCATGGTGACCGCTCTGTGCATCTTTGTGGCCGTCAATCCGATGTACTTAAGAACTCAGCCGAAAGGTAAGGAGTATAGGTCAGCTTTTGGAGGCAAAGTTGTATGTGGTAGTGACGTCATTTTGGGTAAGCCGTTTTGGGGAGGGGGGGGAAGAGAGAGGATTTGCCCCCGTCCTGAATTTGTAGGATTTTCTTTTACTAGATATCAGTTCTAGGACAGCAGAAGTCAAACGCAGTAGAGAATAAATTAGAAAAAAAAAGTTTTTATTCGTTCATGTAAAGCAAGCCGGGTAAGTTTTGGTTTTGCCCCCCCCCCTTTTTTTCCCCCACAAATCCCCCAGAAAAAAACTCAAATGACGTCCCCTGTTGAGGGGTCGTGGAAGTGAAAATAGGGTTGGGGCTTGGTGGGTTATTATGTGGGGTCTTTGCTGGGACAGTAAAAGCAAGGCAAGGGTGGGGGGGGAGGGGGGCAAAAAGTCAGGACGGGGCGGAAATCGCAGCATGGGTTGGTGGGTCAGTTCAGTGGGTCTAGCTTGGGGCAGGGCCGGCCCAACGGTTGCTGGCGCAGTGTGCAATCTTAACTTTGGCGGCCCCTTGACAGTATAATCATTAAATGAAAAAAACGAATTATTCCGTAATGAAATGAGTTTATTACCTATGGTGGTGTTGTTGTTTTTTAAACAATCAATGAACTGTTCATTGTCCATTAAAAAAAAAAACATAGGTAAAAAAACTCATGACGGAATAACTATTTTTTGCCCCTTTAATTATTATACTTATAAGGGACGCCAGAGTTAAGCCTTAGGTAAACTTTCGCCCTGTGCGAAGCACCCGTTCGGCACCCCCTTCCCTGTCCCTGTATGGCTCAGCTCTTTTTCCGATTACGACGTACTTTTTCTGATTTGCGCTTGCGATTCTGCGCCCCTGCAAGATTTTTGTTCCCCCCATATTCTTTCTGCTGAAATAATTGTAAGAGGCGCAAGTAAATACGGTATTAATAAATTAATGTCCACGCCCTTTCCGTTGGTCTCAACCCCAGGGTTAGTATCCAAATTAAGAATGCAACTTTCATTGTATAAAACTCATTGTATGAAAAGCGATTGTACGAAAAGTTAGGATACCGTTTCTCGAGCCCCTGACCCGAGGTTCACACTTCACTATAATCAACTAAGGGGCTTTAAATATTTACTGCCCCTCCCCCCCCCAGTGCGAGAGCACAGGTCGAACACCCCTAAAAGCCGGCTCTGCTTGGGGACAGTACAGTGGTTCAGGTTGAATTATCGTAGGACCCAAATGGAGAATAAAACTTGGACTGGGAGGAAAAGTGAACAAGTAAACTACTGTACCAGATGTTACTTAACTAGCGCGATAAATTTCACAGAATAATTTTATGGTAAAAAAAAATCATTAAAGCATGTCACACCGCATCTATTACGGTTGAGACGATCTAAACACCTGAGATTATCTTAACACCCGATCTTGTTCCAGGCAGCGTGCTGAGTACAGCGTGGCGGATATGCGTGGAGGGATCTGGAAAGGTAAACCACAATAAATGTCACAACGTTGTTGATTATTACTCTTGGGTACTTACTGTACCAGAAAGTATGAAGTAACGTGTGCTCGCACGAACGTGTCTACGCCTTGTTAACATAGTGTGTCCGTGAGTGCCGCGCCTAATGTGTGTTGGTGCATTCAGATTTTTTGATGTTAGTTTCATAATGGTATAAGAAGAAATGGTAAATTGCCTTAGTTGGTCTACGCGGATAACCCACTAAATCAGCGGTTCTCAACCTGTGGGCCGCGACCCCTTTGGGGGTCGCACGACCCTTTCTCAGGGGTCGCCTAAGACCAACTGAAAACACATACTCTACAGTTGTGAAGCAGCAACGAAAAATAATTTTGTGGCTGGGGGGGTCGCCACAATATGAGGAACTGTAT